ATTGGCCGATTCATCATACAACATCACTCGTAGAGTGGGCTCATACATCATAATTAGGAGCAATGCCTCAACGCCATAGACTAGAAAAATGAGGTCTCCCCTGTTGAACTTTTTGCTGTCGTACGAATGGACCATAGCACATTGACTAACTCATCAGCTCATAGGCCGCCTGCTTTCTCAAGCTTGCACTTGATGCCATCGGAGATCAACTTGTTGTATGCTTCAACTTGGCAATTTTCCTTAGGGCGTCCGACCGAGGCAAAACAATGCGTTATGCCCTAGTCGCTTAGCCAATCTTTGAGTTGGCTGGTCCATTGTCGAACACCTTTGATTAAGGCACACCAAAGAGTGTGATAATGTTCTTCCAGATGAAAGCTGATACATCTCTCCATTTGATCTCTCGGACGGCCTCAGCTTCGACCCACTTTGTGAAGTAGTAAACAGATACTAACACATACCGTCTCTGTCTGGATGCTAGAGTATATGACCCCAAGATTGTTAGAATTTAGAGTGTATGACAGGAGAGCCCTCTCCTTGATAAGGAGAGGCCGCGGCTGGAAGCCACGGAAAGCCGCGCCCGCAGCCTTATGTGCCGCGCCCGCGGCATGGGCGCGACCAACCATCTCCAGCAGTTGCGATTTCATTTGTTCTTTTAATTGCAAAATTAAAAGAAGAAAAATAAGATTCTGATTTTTCTCCTCTGGATTTTCCCTTGTTTTCTCTACATCTTTATTTGAAGAAACTTGTAATCTCTTCATCTAAACTCTATTAATTAATTCAATCTTCGTGAATTTGTCATCTTTATTTCGATTCTTAGTGCAAAGAACAAAATTGTTGTCTTTTGTATCTCAAAGAGGATTTCCGGATTGAACTCAAGAACCATTGTAGGGGAAATTAACCTCTTTAGGAAAGTGTATACACGCCTAAGGCAGAGTATCAAGGATTGAGACTCAAGTGGTCATCAACATTCTCATGTTCATGTTCTTGGTGTTGGCTTGGAGTTGAGGCAAGTATAGAATTTTCACATTAGTGTTTCCTTTTGTAATTTCTGAATTACATTGTATATTTGGTGCTTGGTTTGTAATACTTTGATTAGTATTTGGATTGTTGTATAATTTGATATTAATTATACACTGTTTAGGTTTTGTTCCCACAATCTTAATTAGTTCTTTGTTCTTAGAATTACTATAAAACCTAACAAAGATATCCATGCCCCATTTTCCAAAGGGAAGTGGACTACTTATGGCCGACAAGCTATTTGTCGGGTGGTGTATGAGGGTTGCAAATCTCTGGCACTTATCACATTTTTTCACCATTTCCATGAATTCATGCTCGGCCAGTAATATCCCAGATGGGTAACTTTTTCAGCTAAGGCTTGTCCGCCTATGTGTGATCCACAATGGCCATGGTGAAGGTCGTCCAACACCTCATGCCTCCTCTCGGGCGTAATGCATTTCTAGTAGGGCTTCACAAAGGCTTTTTTGAACAAGTCTTCCGCCTTCATCTCAAACCATGCAGCCTTCTTCTTCATCAACAAGCTCTCTTTAGGGTCGCCCGGAAGAACTCCATCCTTGAGATAGGAGATAAGTCCGTCCATCCATGTGGAACTTCTGTTAATGATTTGCACAAGCTCGACATCGAAACTCCTCTTTTCCTTGACTTCCCAGAACACAAATCTTGGAGTATCACATGATGTCAAGGAAGCTATCTTGGAGAGGGCGTCTGCCTGATGATTCTCGGACCGGGGAACTTGTTGCAATGTGAAGTGCTCTAAGATCTTGGCCTCATCCTCCATCATCTGAAGATACTTCATCATGGCTGGCTCCCTGGCCTCATAGTCACCATTCACTTGGCTAGCTATCAGCTGAGAGTCCGAGCTAGCATCAATTTTATTGCTCCAGTTGCCTTACACATTCTAAGGCTTGCCAGAAGGGCTTCATACTCGGCCTTGTTATTAGAGGCTTGAAACTGAAATCTCAACACATATTGAAAATTGACTCCTTCCGAAGATTGACATATGATACCAGCACTACATCCGATCGTTGTTGCACTTTTATCCACAAAAACTTTCCAGATCTGATCCCCTGTAGGCTATAAGTCCAGCCATGTCATTCGGCCAAGAAATCTGCAAAGGCTTGGCCCTTGATTGCTTTTCTGTGTTCGAATGTGATAAACCCGTTTTATACATAGATTTATCCCGACTTTTCATTACATTCTTGCATGGTTTTAGGCTCTTTAGAGCCATTTTCCGCTAACATTCTCTTCTCTAGTGTGTTCGGTGTGTTTTTATAAGTTTTACAGGAACTTGGAGTTTCTCGGATGATTTGGACACGTTTTGAGCGTTTACGGAGATGTTAGTGAGCAAGGATGAAGAACCGAGCTAAACATGAGCTAAGGACGAGAAGAATTTGCAAGCAAAGAATTTTCTTCACTTTGCCCGATCGGGCTATGCATGCCCGGTAAGACCGGGCACAGAAGGACTTATTGGTTGATGTTAATTAGAAAGAAAGAAGCTATTTGGGTAATTAATCCCATGCGCCCGATCGGGCAACCCATGCCCGGTTGGACCGGGCGCGTGGTGGCTGAGATGCTCAAAGCTACGAAGATCAGATGCAAGGCAGCCAGCAAAGATATGCCTCGCACCCGATTGGGCGCCACCTGCCCGGTTGGATCGGGCGCCGAGGAGAGAAGTAAAGAAGAAGCAGCGCTTATTTTGTTCCCACCTGCCCGATCGGGCAAGTCAAGCCCGGTTAGACCGGGCAGGGTTATGCGCATTGTCGTTTTGTTATTTTCTTTTTTTTACTTCATTAAGGGTATAAATACCCATTGTAATCATCATGAGAACACTTATTATTTCCCCTAAGCACTATTTTCTCTCTAGAACCCTAGTTTACTCTCTTTTATGCAATTTAATTCTTCCATTAGATTTGATTATTGTGATCAACGATTTGAGTTATTTCAATTGAAGCATCATTGGTATTCATCTATTTCTTTTCTCTTTCAATTATTATTGTTTTCAATTATGTTTTCTATAATTATGATTGTTAGTGCTTTCTTCAATATGTGTGAGTAGATTTCTTATTCCAAGATCTAGGGTAGCCCAATTATGATTGATGCATGAATTAATTCTTTAAATTCTCTCATAACCATTGTAGTTGTCTATGCTAAATTGATTGTGATTATGCCAATGCTATATTAGAGATAATTAGTATTGTTATTATTCCATTGTTTCTATCACAACGAGAGTTGGATTTCAACGGAATTGAGTAAATTGATTTAGGATTTGAAATTCAACATGAGAATAGTTGAACGGATAATTGGGAATTGAAGTAAAGTGTTTAATGTCTCTAATTTTCATGATACCATGAGAATAGGCTTGATTGTAGGTTAGGGAAGCCATTGATACTCGAGAGAGGTCCTTGGTATTGATTAGGGTTTACTTTTCCCATGTTAATTGGAATTGTATGTTAGGGGTAGATATAGAATTGCATCGATCGTAATTGTGGTGATACTTGATCTTGGATGTTTTATCTTATTGATTCATTATATTTGTTTGATTTATTCTAGTTTTCCATACATTAGCTCTTAGTTTATTCTACCATTGATTGATTCTTGCTTGGTAATTATTTGAGTCTAATTAATTTAGGTGAACCATATTCTCTGTGGGATCGACCCTGACTTACCCTACTACATAATTAGGAGGAATAGTTAGGTTATTTTTGTTAGGTGTGCGACCGCCTATCAAATTTTGGCGCCGTTGCCGGGGACTAACGGTTTCATTTGGGTATTTGTGATTCATTTTTACTAAGCTTTATTCGTTGCTTCGGCTATTTTCTCTTGTGTTTTTGATATTCTCTCTCTAGTTTTCTTTTTGCATGCAAACACGACGTTCAGGGTCTGACGATCTTGAACTATTTGACTCTGAAATCGAGGCAACTATCAGGAGAAGGAGAACAAGAAATCGATATAACAGAAACATGGTAGACCAAGGAACAAAATCTCTTTTGGAGTACGATATTCCTGATACGACAATCGGACTCCTCTCTAGCATTGTCAGGCCACCTGTCACTGCTCAGCACTTTGAATTGAAACCACAGTTCATTCAATTCATCTCCAATGACTCTTTTGCAGGCACACCACATGATTGCCCGGTAAGTCATATTGATTGTTTCTTAGAGAAATGTGATACTATGAAAATGAATGGTGTTATAGATGATGCTATCAGACTTTGCCTTTTCCCTTTCTTATTACTGGATAGGGCCAAGGAATGGTTGAGAGATGAAGGCACTGGCTCGTTTGATACATGGGAAAAGCTAGTGAAAGCTTTTCTAGTAAAGTTTTTGGGAAAGGAAAAGACTGCTAGGTTAAGGAACAAGCTAGCTACCTTTTGTCAACCTAATGATGAGTCTTTATATGTGGCATGGAGAAGATTCAAGCGCTTACAGAGACAATGCCCTCATCACGGTATCCCAGAGTGGTTGTTGATCCAAACATTCTACAATGGTCTGACCCATGAGTTCCGCATATACATTGATGCTGCATCCGGGGGTTCTCTCATGACTAAGAACCTAACTGAAGCCAAGGAGCTAATTGAGAAGATGGCAGCCAATGACAATTATCATCCAGGGGGCAGAAATACTGTGAAGACTAGAGGAAAATTTGATGTTGACACTTTGACTCTCTTGACAAGTTCTGTACAAGCATTAACAAGCAAGTTTGATAAAATCCAAGCTGGATCCTCTTCCACCTCATCCGAAACTTGTCAATTATGTGGTATTCAAGGCCATATTGCTCCACAATGTCAACCGCCCTCTAATGAAATGTCAATCGATCAAGCAAATGCCTTCTATACTACGGCACCTAAAAGGCCGTATGATGCTCAAGCTCAATTGTATTCTCCGCCACCACCACCTAATTTTCAAGCAAGGGCATCTTTTAATCACCAACCCATGTATCAACAACTACCACCACAAACTTCAAAATACAACCTCGATTCCACTATGGAGACTTTCACTACCTCCCTTCTTCGACAGCAAGAGCTTATGACAAAGCAATTTGAGCTACAAGCAAAGCAAAATGAACACTTTGAAAGCTCAATTCAATTGCTTATGGCTCAAAATAAGAGGATAGAAACCCACATTTCTCAACTTTCACAACAAGTGAGTCATTTATCAACTCTTCATGATCAAGCAAAAGTCCAAAAGGAGCAATGCAATGCAGTTTTCTTGAGAAGAGATGAATTATTTTCGAGGAAAATAGATGAGAAAGTGTGCAATGTGGAGCCAAGAAAAGATGAACAGGGTGAGGATGTAAAATGTCCCAAACATGTTGTTCCATCGGCCTATGAGGAACCGATGCCCTTCCCGCAAAGGTTGTCAAAAGCCGTGCTCGATAGACATTTTGGGAAATACTGCGAAGCCCTTAAGAAGGTACACGCTTCTATTCCTTTTTTCGATCTTTTAATTTAAATGCCTCAATTTTCAAATTTTGTGAAGAATATTAAAGATCAACATGAGGATAAGGAAGTAGTAAATGAGAAAGGCTCTACTCTTTTATGTGATAGCCTACCACCTAAGCTGCATGATCCTGGTAGTTTCACTATTCCCTGTATGATAAACGAAAAAAATTTCGACAAGGTTTTGTGTGATTTAGGTGCTAGTGTTAATTTAATGCCTTATTCATTATATGAAAAATTGGGTTTGCAAAAACTTAAACCTTCCCCTATTTCTCTTCAAATGGATGATAGGACTTCTAGACTCCCTATGGGTGTGGTTGAGGATGTATTAGTTAAGGTTGGTGGACTTGTTTTTCCTGTTGATTTTGTTGTTATGGACATGAAAGAAGACAATAAGATCCCGTTTATATTCGGTCGTCCATTCCTTGCCAAGAGTCAAGCTCTAATAGATGTTCCTAAAGGACAAGTGACCATTAGGGCCCAGAATAAACAAGTCATGTTTAAGCTCTTTAATAATCATAATTTTATATTTGATGGTGGTACTTGTTTAAGAATTGATACTACTAACCCTTTGGTTGATAAGTGTGTATTTGGTAGAAATTTTGTGATAAACGAGGACAAAATTCCACCCAATGATGTGTTTAGCTACATGAAGGTAAGTTCGGATACAAAGCATGTCAAATATAAAGTGAAGGAGTCACTTGGAGGCAGATATTTTCATGGGCAACATCGCGGAGTTCCTTCTTCGTGTGGTGACCCTGGTTGAACTAATAACGAAGGTCAAGCTAAAGACCTTGATAAACTAGCGCTTTGCGGGAGGCAACCCGTATTTTATTGTTTTTAGTGTAGTCTTTTCTAATTTTTGTGTGTTTTTGTTTGTCTTTGGCTTTTAGAGAGGTAAGGAGAGTATAACTTGCGCTTGTGGGAGTTTGTTTTTGTGCAGATTTTGAGCCAAAGAAGAACTGAATTCATTCAAACGTTCAATCCCCTTCGTGCCCGATCGGGCATCCCATGCCCGGTCTGACCGGGCGGTGAGGGTTGAGAATTAGCTTCAATTCTTCTTTCTTACATGCTTTTTGCGCCCGATCGGGCAGCCCATGCCCGGTTGGACCGGGCGCGCATACGTTTCAGCAAAACTGCTCAAGTTCGACAGGCCATAACTTTTGCGTTACTTAACGGATTTTTGCGTATAACCTATCGTCGGAAAGATCTTCAAGTCTAATTTCCAATGAAATTATAATCACTGCATTATCAATTATACATCAAAAGTTATGATCAGAATAGTGCACATGACTCAATTTCTATCCTTTTTCCCACTAACTTCCCTTTAAGACAATGAGGACATTGTTTTATTTAGCTTGGGGGGAAGTTCTTGTGTACACAAGGTATATCTTTCACTCTCTCTTTCTACTTTAGTGTGTTTAGACTAGTAGTAAGGTTTAATGCTTTCATCTGAAAAAAACTGAAAAAAAAAATGAAAAAAAAAAACGAGAATCATGATAGTGAATAGTCATTGAACTACTTCCCTGTGCCCGTATCCTTAATGCTAAAAAGGTTTTGATTTAATTTAGATTGAAAGACTTGCATTGTGGACTAAAAGATCATGATTTGACCTTGAATTTGTTGATCCCTAGTAGGAGTCAAAGTTGTTTAACCATGTATGATTTAGGAGCTTGACTGTGTTAACCGTGAGGCTTGAACCTTATATATTCATTCATGTGTGTGTTTAGTTCCTGGTGTAGCATTGATCTTAGTTTTGATTCTAGACTCTTAGTAGTGTGTCGTAATGCATTGCACGTGCATGTTGAAATGACGAAGGCCATGTTCATTAGGTGACCTCCAGACGAATTTAGAACATTCGTTCCCTTCTTGCTAACCCATGTTGTAGCTTGACTATATTTTTCATAAACTTCACAAAAATTACCCCTTGGCCCCAATTTGGTTACTTTTCCCAAGTCTAGCTTGGGGGAGCTATATTATGCGGTATTTTGTAGTGATTTTAATTTCAAGTTGCAATTGATGAGAGACATATGAAAAAAAAAAGAAAGAAAAGAAGGAAAACTAGCATGGAGGTTTGTTGGAAAAATAAGAGAATAAATCGAAGAACAAAGAAAGAAAATCTTGTACTTAAAATGAAAGAAAATGTCTTTATTCTCGAGAAAAGAGAAAAAAGAAGAAAAAAAAGAAGAAAGAAAAAGAGAAAAAAATGCTGATGAAAAGAAAAAAATTGAATAAAAAGAAGCTTGAAGTTAGAAAGAAATATGAAGAAGTAATGGGTGCTTTTATTGTAGTTGGGTTTGTGTTTTGTTGATTGAAAAATGGTGAATCGAGGTGTGACTCATTGCATTGGATAGCTCCCCGATTAGACTAATATAGTCCACATTTCCCAAATTATTTCCTACCTATTCTTATTCCCGACCTACGTTACAAGCTTCAAAAAGTCCTTCCGATCTTCGTGCATAGCGTTGTGTTCATGTGAAACGAGTTTTTTGTCAAAATGCTGGAGTATATGTTGCATTTCGAGTCGACATTGACTAGGTTGAGCAATATTATAACCCTCTAAACACGCGAGTGTTGTGAGACGGGGGGATTGCATTGTTGGTGGGGATGGTGAGAGATCGAGCTCATTTTTAGCTCGGCACATAAAAAGTGTGTTGAGTGACCACCGATGTGAGATATTCTAGTAATCTATTCTTGAATTATACATGGTTGGTCTCGTTTGACGATTAATTGGGTGGATCGACGATTTGAGTGATTTGAATGGTTGGCTAGGATGCATACTTGTTTGATTTCGATTTTGAATTTGCTTTATGGGGTGAAGTATGTTGTTTGGTTGTTAATTATTTTTTATTGTCTAGCTTGAGGACGAGCAAGAGTTTGGCTTGGGGGAATTTGATATACACGTTTTATACATAGATTTATCCCGACTTTTCATTACATTCTTGCATGGTTTTAGGCTCTTTAGAGCCATTTTCCGCTAACATTCTCTTCTCTAGTGTGTTCGGTGTGTTTTTATAAGTTTTACAGGAACTTGGAGTTTCTCGGATGATTTGGACACGTTTTGAGCGTTTACGGAGATGTTAGTGAGCAAGGATGAAGAACCAAGCTAAACATGAGCTAAGGACGAGAAGAATTTGCAAGCAAACAATTTTCTTCACTGTGCCCAATCGGGCTATGCATGCCCGGTCAGACCGGGCACAGAAGGACTTATTGGTTGATGTTAATTAGAAAGAAAGAAGCTATTTGGGCAATTAATCCCATGCGCCCGATCGGGCAGCCCATGCCCGGTTGGACCAGGCGCGTGGTGGCTGAGATGCTTAAAGCTACGAAGATCAGATGCAAGGCAACCAACAAAGATATGCCTCGCGCCCGATTGGGCGCCACCTGCCCGGTTAGATCGGGAGCCGAGGAGAGAAGTAAAGAAGAAGCAGCGCTTGTTTTGTTCCCACCTACCCGATCGGGCAAGTCAAGCCCGGTCAGACCGGGCAGGGTTATGCGCATTGTCGTTTTGTTATTTTCTTTTTTTTACTTCATTAAGGGTATAAATACCCATTGTAATCATCATGAGAACACTTATTATTTCCCCTAAGCACTATTTTCTCTCTAGAACCCTAGTTTACTCTCTTTTATGCAATTTAATTCTTCCATTAGATTTGATTATTGTGATCAACGATTTGAGTTATTTCAATTGAAGCATCATTGGTATTCATCTATTTCTTTTCTCTTTCAATTATTATTGTTTTCAATTATGTTTTCTATAATTATGATTGTTAGTGCTTTCTTCAATATGTGTGAGTAGATTTCTTATTCCAAGATCTAGGGTAGCCCAATTATGATTGATGCATGAATTAATTCTTTAAATTCTCTCATAACCATTGTAGTTGTCTATGCTAAATTGATTGTGATTATGCCAATGCTATATTAGAGATAATTAGTATTGTTATTATTCCATTGTTTCTATCACAACGAGAGTTGGATTTCAACGGAATTGAGTAAATTGATTTAGGATTTGAAATTCAACATGAGAATAGTTGAACGGATAATTGGGAATTGAAGTAAAGTGTTTAATGTCTCTAATTTTCATGATACCATGAGAATAGGCTTGATTGTAGGTTAGGGAAGCCATTGATACTCGAGAGAGGTCCTTGGTATTGATTAGGGTTTACTTTTCCCATGTTAATTGGAATTGTATGTTAGGGGTAGATATAGAATTGCATCGATCGTAATTGTGGTGATACTTGATCTTGGATGTTTTATCTTATTGATTCATTATATTTGTTTGATTTATTCTAGTTTTCCATACATTAGCTCTTAGTTTATTCTACCATTGATTGATTCTTGCTTGGTAATTATTTGAGTCTAATTAATTTAGGTGAACCATATTCTCTGTGGGATCGACCCTGACTTACCCTACTACATAATTAGGAGGAATAGTTAGGTTATTTTTGTTAGGTGTGCGACCGCCTATCAAATTTTGGCGCCGTTGCCGGGGACTAACGGTTTCATTTGGGTATTTGTGATTCATTTTTACTAAGCTTTATTCGTTGCTTCGGCTATTTTCTCTTGTGTTTTTGATATTCTCTCTCTAGTTTTCTTTTTGCATGCAAACACGACGTTCAGGGTCTGACGATCTTGAACTATTTGACTCTGAAATCGAGGCAACTATCAGGAGAAGGAGAACAAGAAATCGATATAACAGAAACATGGTAGACCAAGGAACAAAATCTCTTTTGGAGTACGATATTCCTGATACGACAATCGGACTCCTCTCTAGCATTGTCAGGCCACCTGTCACTGCTCAGCACTTTGAATTGAAACCACAGTTCATTCAATTCATCTCCAATGACTCTTTTGCAGGCACACCACATGATTGCCCGGTAAGTCATATTGATTGTTTCTTAGAGAAATGTGATACTATGAAAATGAATGGTGTTATAGATGATGCTATCAGACTTTGCCTTTTCCCTTTCTTATTACTGGATAGGGCCAAGGAATGGTTGAGAGATGAAGGCACTGGCTCGTTTGATACATGGGAAAAGCTAGTGAAAGCTTTTCTAGTAAAGTTTTTGGGAAAGGAAAAGACTGCTAGGTTAAGGAACAAGCTAGCTACCTTTTGTCAACCTAATGATGAGTCTTTATATGTGGCATGGAGAAGATTCAAGCGCTTACAGAGACAATGCCCTCATCACGGTATCCCAGAGTGGTTGTTGATCCAAACATTCTACAATGGTCTGACCCATGAGTTCCGCATATACATTGATGCTGCATCCGGGGGTTCTCTCATGACTAAGAACCTAACTGAAGCCAAGGAGCTAATTGAGAAGATGGCAGCCAATGACAATTATCATCCAGGGGGCAGAAATACTGTGAAGACTATAGGAAAATTTGATGTTGACCGCCTATTTTTGTTAGGTGTGCGACCGCCTATCAGAATGTGATATCAAATCCTCTTAATTCTAAGGCCCATTGAAGAATTCGGCCACTGGCCTTCGATGTTGTGAATGGCTTCTTCAACTGTTGGTTCGTGTAGACCACAATCAAGTGAGCAAGAAAGTACTGCCTTAGCTTCTTTGATGCCATGAAAAATGCCAAGCCGAACTTTTCAATTGGTGGATACCTAAGCTCGACATTGTGCAGAACATGGCTGATGAAATACACAAGGATCTGATGGCCGTCCCTTTAAGCAAGCAGGACGACACTTAAGGAAAGATCTAAAATTGCAAGATACATATATAGTTTCTCGTCTTTGAGTGGACTGACAAGCCG